TAATGTGTTACCAGGGCAAGAGAAAACTTGCTTCAGTGTGCCCACGATCCCACAGGGATCTTTACAACATAAGCAGCTCCTGTTTCTTAATGCCATGTTTAATACACATCGCAGCCCCGAGACTGTTCTCTTGCCACTTCATAATTGCATATCTCTCAAGTACTCGACAACAAACATGCTGTCACATTCGAACAGCTTGATTCCTGCGCGGCAATTAATCGGTTGGTCCCCAGCATCTGAAGTAATATTTTCTTATTTCCATCACTGTGATAAATCAACTCAGGGCTATTTAGAAAATCTAGTCCGACTGATCTTTAGCAAGTGAACACCATAGAACAGTCTACACTTTATAATGGCTCCAAAGACATCGGTTTTTACACTTAAACTGGTTGAATGAATGAATCCTGTGAGCAATTATGTACATGACAAGAAAGGTGCCGATGTTAAACTATTAGCTGCCATGAAAAAAGCTATGTTAAAGCTATATTTATGTTTGTTTTGTTATTTTTACTTTCTTTATTGATTGAAGAATGTATATATATATAGTGACATGCAATGGCTCTATTTAATGACACACCGTATGGTAAGTGTGCACTAGTGGTATCTTAATATGCAGTGAAATTCAGGCCTGACAGGTACATCAGTCAATAGGCTATTATATTATGTAGTGTAAAATAATTAAAATATATCACAATTGCTTTGAGAAATTGAGCAAAAAGTGTTGGGCAGTGTGTACTGTAGAAATAGTAAAAAAAATCTACCGTGATTGCAAAAACACAAAAAGGTATGGAATATGGTATACTTAGATTATGAAAGATTGAAAAAGGAAATACAATTTTGTGAGAGGTGCAACATCACAGTGGCAAAAGAAATAGCAGAAAAAAAGATCTCCAGCACAATGACAAGAGCTGGAGCAAAGTGGGTGAGTTGCGAAAGAGTCATGGGGCACCTATACAGGCATGAACAAACAGCTGATACATATACTGTAGGCAGTATGCAAACTGTATGTTTAAAGTATGCAAGATACATATAGCCTGTATATGTAGTAAAGATATAGTCAGCTATGCATTGCTTTACAATTATTTACATAATGATTGTTTTCTACATTCACAGGGTTAACTGCTACAACGCAATGAGTTCTCAGAGTCCTTTTGGAGGTTTTAAAATGTCTGGGAATGGAAGAGAAATGTGAGTACCATTATTAATGTCGAAAGGTATTCTTATTCTACATCTTTCTTTTCATCCATTGATTGAAAATATATTATTCAGCGTTCCTAGACATTTCACATATTTGTGGATCTGGACATATCCCTGTTTTGCCAATTGACTTTGTAGTTTGCCTGGGCTGGGTTAATTTTCTGATCATGACGCCTAATAATTTGAGAATTTGTACATTCTTACTGGGACATCTAACAGTAAACTGACCACCTGGGCAATCACCAATCTTTTAAAAGAGACAATATTGATGTTTTTGGAAGTTCTGTCTCACAATTCACAAGACATAGACATTAATTCTGTTGATGCACTTGGGCCATCTACAGTAGCTATCCATTCTATGGAATGTTTATTTTTAGTAATAATTCCTTGGATTTTTAGATTCGATCCCAATCTAAAAGGGGATCCCTTTTAGGATCCCAAAGCATTATCTGTATGGGAGAAGGACCTATTCATCCACACTGATGTTTGATTTCATTCAATTAAACTTCACTTTTCATGTGAATAGTCCACTTCAGGAATGAAGAATACATGTCAACTCAGGCACAACACGCTTATTTAGGTTTCTGTAGATCCGTAAATTTACAAAGAGTGATAAGTCAAGCTGCTGAACTCCACCACGGTGCAACATTTGCCGTTATACTCACTTTAAACTGACGTTCACCCGCTTGGGTGAAAAGCAGCCTTACTCGTGCCACTTACTTGCAGTTAACAAAAACAGTGTTCAGTTAACACATACACAAAAAAGAGAAATGTTCATGGATAGCGAACATGACAATTCAAAAAATTGATTTTAGCAGTATGCATTACATGAATATACTGAATGCAAAAGAAACTCAGCCCACACCTACCTTAGTTGTTCTTAGTCATCAAAATTTGAGTCATCATTTAAAAACAGCACCAGATTCTAGCAAGAAATATTTCTGTCTAGAATACACACACGGAAGATCTGTGCAAAAAACACATCTGGACACTCCTAAAACATATGTATGAAGGTTTCTTTAGAGTCCTACATACAGAGTAACAAGTAATAGGTGTCACGCCCTCTGCAGCCAGAGGGCGCTCCTTCTCTGTCCTGTCCCTAGTTTCTGGTCTGCTGTCCTTCCTGTCCCTCTCTTTCCCTTGGGCTATATATTTCCGGGTCTTGCAATCTGTCCTCGCTCAGCATTGACGTTTGCATGTCCTGAGACCCGCCTAGCATCAGGGCGTCCCACGTCCGCTCCCTGAGGGCATAGGTTTCTATACGGCATTCCTGAACTCTTTGCACTAATGAGCCCGGGCCTTTTTCCCGTCTCGCCGCTACGCATATGGGTCTTTTTCCGCTCTCCTGCTCCCCACGGTTAGTCCCTTTGGACGTCCGAGACAATAGGTTTATTCCATGCTGCAAAGAGAAGAAAGAAAACACAACGTTTCGGCCATGGAGCCTTCGAAGCCTTTTTCTTCTCTTTTCAGTATGGAATAAACCTATAACTTGTTCCTTTGCAGCCTAGAGTATACTAGTAGGGACAAGTTTTAAGAATTTTGAGGATTTCGATTGTTTGGAAGCTCAATCAATACTGCAATCAAGACTGGCTGAGGAAATTTGTTCAAATGTAATATTCAAATCCCTATTCCAAATAGATTTCAATTAGAGACAACTAATAAAGGCTTATATAAAGCCTCTAAACTTTGGGATGGAAACCTGTCCTATTGTTTTACCAAACAGATTATGTACAGTATTAGGTTTTTAGACAACCTAAAACCCCAGGGAATGGTACTGTTAGACTGCTCACGTATAGAAAGAAGACATAGTTAACTCCTATTAAGTTTACAAGGCCAGGAAGAAATAGAGAGCATTCTAATTAAAAATATCTGCAAAAATGTTTGCCACAGATTATTGGATTTCTTGAGTCTTTATACTGCAATTAAGCATGTAGAGACAAGACCAAAAACTTGGTCTGAAGGGAACACTAGTATGTATTCAATCTTGAAGGCTATATGGAGGGGCTAGACTTTCTTCAAATGGACACCAAGATACAGAAGTCAGGATTATACCTAACTGTCTGTAATTGCAAGACAAAGGAAGGGAAACCAGTTCCCTGCAGACTTGTCATACTCCAGAGTTTGATGTTAGTACACGGTCTCTACCCTTCTGTTGGGGCTAAATATGATTCTGAAGTATTTTAAAAGTTTAAGCAGCTACAGAAATTAAAGGTAGCCTAGCTTTATCCATTTAAAATGTTAGCTACATTAATGCAAATTTGTACAATGGATCCCCTGCCACTCTGCATTGGATAAAGGGGTTAGAAAATACATGGTAGATAATGCTGATTTTACATCCCATTAGTGCATTGAAATTATAATATAGTTACACTTAGTTTTACAACATTATGCTATGAATGCATATCAGTGTACCAGTGTTCAATAACTTAAGTCTCAATGGTTGTAGTTTTGGCCCAGAGTTCTTAGGGATATAATAATTTATTGTCCATTCTGAAAATCAGCTGCCCTATAGTGGGAATGTTGTTAACAGATGAAGGATTGATAGGGAAAATCTATTAAGAGATGATGCTGTTAACAGAAGCAACAGTAACAGGGAAAATGTCTACATCTAAGAGTACTTTATCAACATATACTAATATGCAATATTGATTATTTTTAATAGAAACACAGGAATAGATGTGGAGTGGAGAGGAAATGTTTAGCTAGTGCCCTCAGAAATAACAAACTAAGACAAACACCGGTTTTCTGTTAGCTCTTTTGGTATAGGATTAGTGTGTAGAGCTTTAATCATATCAACGAAACCTGATCTCAAACTCATACAATCTAACACTGACCATGAATATCCCCACTCAAGCTGATGAAAAACTTTCTCCTGTGAAAGAGTACTTCAAGGGGTAGCAGTGTGTATAATGTGAAAGAGACAGTAAACATTATCAGATGCAAGACAGCTTTTAATAAAGCCTGCCTTGTTATGGTGCACTAATTTGATTATATACAATAGGTCTCCAGATGGTTTGACAACACTTAAGTTCACAGAAGTTCACTGAAGTCTATCTGTAATTTCCATTTCAGTCTCCTGAGCAGTCACTAAAAATGTATATGCTTTTAAAAGAATTTTATCAAAATGGAGAGAAAATGAGAAAGTGAAAGCCTGTTGCATAAGTTTCAATACATATTGTAATGCTTCTCTAGTAAGCTATGGAGCATATTAAGCAACACTGACTTGTTTCCACAAACATGTTTTCCACATCCACAATGGTATACAAAAGACATATAAACTATATATATGATAATATGCCATACCATCACTTCTTTCCTACAGCAGATACTGTATATGGAGCATATCTCTTCTATATTCCCAAATTTCACATAATAAAATGTGATGTACAATTTCATCTGGGAAATAATAGTTATTTAAAAATGTATTAAAATACCATCAAATAAATAAATAAAATAAAATTATTTTTATAATGCAACAATTAAATTACCTTAGCAATTTAAAAATGGTGCTCAGAAATACTGAAAATATTTGGCTGGACTCTTATTTCACTCTTCAATGAAATTTAAGGGGCTCTATTAGGAATCCTTTACAGAGGATCACTACATGCGTATTATGATAGTTATTTTGGATTAGCTAATGTAGGTAAGGGATTAATAAGAATTACATAAGCAATATCCGAAAAATAAAAAATCTTCATAGTCACAAAGACACTTTACAGTCCATGTACCCAAGGACTAGCACCTTAGAGCCCTATGTAAGGGAGAAGGCTGTTCAAGAAAAGAGAGTCTATCTTAACACATTGGAAGAATCAATCTGGAGGATCTGGTCAATCAAGGATTCACTATAACCAACAATTTATTCAATTATAACCCACAGCCCCAATCAGAGATGAGCTTGGAAAGATAACTTTTATTGGGACAACAACAAACTAGCAGGAGGTGCTGGAATTCCCACTGACGTTTTTACGTACAGTGGAGAGGAACTATACCTCCACACCTTCATCTTACAGATCTGGATGGTAATCCTGATGGATTTTAATGCTCTTATCTTGAAGAAAGCAAACAATCCTACTGTGGGAATTCTAGAGGCGTCTCTGCTGTTTATCACAGGCAAGATATTGCAAAAGTTCTCCTGAATTTTCCTCTCATTCTCCTTGCTGTAGAGCTTCTCCCAGAATCCCAGTGTGACATGATTTTTACAGTTTGGCAATTACAACCCCTCTACATAGCAATCATTCTCAGACCTCACTAAGACATTTGACTCTAAATCATGAGTCACAAATATTACATTGTGTTGTGCATTTGTTTTTGAACACATGTTAGTTATACTGGATATAGTGTATGTTTGTGACATACTTCAAACTTGGTTAGAGAGGTTCCAGGGATCTCTACACAAACAAACTCACAATGGCAGGACATTTCATAATTCAGGAGTCTTTATTTCGGAATTTCACAGACAGACCCTTCACAGGCTTTCCAGTCTGCTTCTTCTTCAAAACCCTAACCACTGCCAGCACCATGCAATGCCACACTAATTAAATTGCATCTAAAAATGTTAGATTTTTCACCCATCACCAACAATCTAATAAATAAGTGACACCCAATGTATCTATTTACAGTACTTAGAGGCCTTTTGGCAGCCTCTAGTGGCAGGTTAGTTGATATTACCATCTCTTCTTAGGCCAGCCAGCCACAGTTAAATACTTTGAGTCCCATTATAATACAGATTACTTTTTTCTCCACTGATATTTGTGCTTGAGGGTCTATGACTTAATTTTGCTTTCATGCACATGTACTTCCCAACCCAAAGATATACTGTAATGCCCTTCCCACCATTACTTCATACCAGGAGTTTGTAAAGGTACTTTTTAACCACTACGTATATCAAGAGAAGTACACCAATATATGATTTCAAATTTCTGTTTTTTCAGAGCAAAAAGTCTGTACTTGTATTATTTAAAACCATTAACATATTGTGTTTTTCGTTTCCTTCTATAGGGGAGAATATGGTCTTCAAGAGTACACTGAGATAAAGACTATTACAATCAAAATTCCACAGAAGAATTCCTAAGTAAGGTCACAGTGTAAGAAGACAAAGCATGCCAACATACAGTATTGCACCAATGGCTTCATTGTAGTAGCTTCAACAGTGAATGTGATTCATTATTATTATTTGCAATGCTTTGACTATACAAAGCCTACAGAAAAGAACCAGATGTATTTGGCTTTTGACAGTACAGTTCAAGTGTATCAGTCCAAACTAGGATCAAACAATTATGGCAACCCAATTTATCATCGAGATATATACAGAAATGCATTTCAAAATATAATTTAAATGATGTTGTTTTACATAGATTTCGGAAATCTTTTAAGAACATTTAAGATATCTAGAACTGATATTGATAGATCTCAGAATTAAACCCTTTTACTCCAAATAAATAATATAGACACATCTCTCTCTCTGTCTCAATGCTCAGATGGCTTCCTTTTAAATTATTCATGTTATTTAAATTCATAACAATCTATTTTTAAAATGACTTCCTGCTCATTTGAGATACTGCTAAATTATTCTGAGACAGCTTGAAAAAACTACCAGTTCACAGGCAAATTAGAGGTAGAAAGATATTTTGAGATAAATCACAGTATTTAATTATTTGTTGGTTGTACTTCCACTTTGTGCAAAGAAGCAATCCTTATTATAAACACATAAAATATGTAAAGAACAGAGCCAATGAAATCACTTATTTCATATCATATCATCATGGTTTCCAGGTTCCCCAAATTTGTAAGCATTGGGATTCTCTTTCATTCTCTTGAAACATACAAGACTCTCTCCTAGAGGTCTGTACTATCTTTTTTCTTAAGGAATCTATAAAAAATAATTTTATGAATCTCGGCACACATCTAGGGGTTCTACAATACTTGTGCGCATCATGCCATTTGTTTATAATTTTTTCATTTGCCCATGATCAATGTTTGATTCTGATTTTTGTGTCCAACCAGTTACAATATGTCCTGAAAGACCATGTGCTTGTGACTCAAGTGTAGCTTGATATTTGAAATGTCTAAATTAATTCAGATATCTCTAAATGATTTTAAGATACCTCTAAATAATAATTTGGCTTGCCATAAATGAAATTAAATTCCAAAAGGGGAAGTAGTTGTGAATTACTTGATCCACTGGCAAAAGGTAAACAACTAGAGTGAATGACAACCTAAAGACAATAATAACGTGCATCAATATGTGTGCCATTAGTTGCCCACTCTGAATATAGTATAGAACTGTCTAGCCCTTGAGAAACAGAGGCTGCAACATCACTATGAACAATGGGAATGTGTTAACTGCATGTTTATTTGGAGACTCTGGATACTAGGGTCACTAGGATGCAACAATACCACCATACAAAGTTTTGTTTGCATTGTTGTTGTTTGTTCTCCCTTTGTGTTATCCCACTGTGTCCTGTGTTTCCCTGAAAATCTGCCCGTCCCTGTGTCTGTGGCTGATGAGTCTTTTTATGTGTTGCAAGACAGCTATGGCCAACCTTTTCCTTTGTTCTTTGAGTGAGACACTGATTAAGTATATGTTGTGGGCTTAGGCAGTGGGTGCACCTAATGAAGAATATTTCGGTTCTTTCTTGGAGTCTATTGTTCCTAGAATACTGTTGGTTCTCTGCTGTACTGTAATATAATTGCATTATCTCAATGTTTACTGTGTGCAAATAAACTAAATCTTTCACCTGCATTTATCTGTCAAATAATTAATTCATTCTCAAGCAAGTATTTAAATATGACTCGGTGGGCTGCAAATTAGTTTGTCCTGCCTCCAAACATAAAGTTGGAAACAAAATTTTTAAATGCAACAAAATGTGTATTTTAATTTAATAAATGGTACAGAAGGATATAATTATACATAGTGGTAGTCATATCCTGAAAAATGTTTTTCATTTGCAAGCTGCAATTTATAGTCATGGAGACTGTCTTGATTGCTTTATAAGCATGGAGAAAGGCAGAAATTTAACTTTTCATATTTCTGAAATTCCTCCTGTAATATTACTTTACCTCTGATTCTCAAAACAGGATATAATAATCTAAGGGTGTCTTCAAAACCCTTTGAGGTTCTCTATAGAGATCATTTTCCAAGCTTTTAAGATACATTTGGAGACATGACTGTTAAAATTCACATACAGTAAAAAAAGACTACTAAGAGTAACCAAAGAGAAACATAACTGAGTGCAGAAGTGCAGTATACAATATAATCTTAGGCAATGTTGAATATACAATATCTAAGAAAAAAAACTTAATGATGTTTTCACCAGAATATCACAAGTGTTCATCAGGATCACCTTTTAAACTATTACATATGAAAAATCCATGTTAGTCTGTACATCCTCCTGATTTATGCTATGATTCATAACACTATGATTTTGAACATCTTCTTTACACCTTTAGTTCTGAATTATTTATTATGTCCCCATGTTGTAATAAATGAAATGTATGTGTTTGAAAAAATATTTGAGAACTACCTGTTACAAATCATTCTATTTCCTACAAGATGTGTTTTAAAACTGAAGCCATATCATAACACATAAGTGAGGTTACTGATTGAAAAAGACTGAGCATTGTTGTTGTTTAAGTTGTTACTTCCACATTTTTTTTTCCTGTAGAACTCCAAATTCAAACATTTTACTTCTTAGTCCTTTGAGTTACTGAAAACAACCAGGCACTGAGAAGAATTTAGGTATACAGTGTGCAAATATCAAAGCTTCCTTGGTGACAATGGGATCAGTTTTCTTTCTAAAAGAAATTGTTTAACATTCCACGCAGGGGAAGGAAGGCCCTTACGTTCACTTGTGTGGAGATGCAGGAGAATTTAGTAGGATCATATCTGAAAGCTGTGTGAAATACACAATTAGAAAACAGCTCTAAAACCCCCTTGAGCAACACTGGTGTAGTTATTGCCTTCTGGGCTGGCCTCTGCCCATTCTCGGTGGTGGGGGGCCTCTGCCATATGGCCCGGGGGGAGCGAGTCGAGGATTTCCAGGAAGAGGTCTAGGAGCCCGGGGACCAGGTGGCCTTGTAACGGCTATGCGTGGGTTTGGAGCTGCAAGAGACACCTCCTTTTGTAAGTTCACGCCAGCTCCCTTAGGGGCCGCTGCTCCTGGTCTGCCTGTCACTTTCTGAGAGTTTCCTTGGTCTTTCTTGTTATCTTCAGGAAACAAAAACAAAAAAGGAGACGGTGAGTCATTGCAGTAAGGTAAGGTATGACCAGAATGAGCTTCCCTATGAAACTGACGTGAGTCGGCTCCATTTGACACGGGTTCCACAGTGCTTTATGGGAGAGCTAGAATTATCAGTCTCTGTGCTCTCAAACCTGCAAGCTCGAAGATGTCATGCAATTCCCAGATGTGCTGCTGTGTGGTGCTACAAAGACGACCGATCTGACCTAAAGCCGATCCACCTGTAATTTCCAGGCTTGTTACTTAGGCTATAGGATTTAACCTGGTTTTAAAGGTTTAACCAGAGTGCTCTGCTATGGTGCTTTCAGATTGTTGTTGGCTCTTCAATAATTTTAGAGACAGGGAGTTTTTGGAGATGAAACAAATGTAAAGAATTTTGCAGAAATGTAGGCAGAGATGTGACAGCTTTAGCAAAAGCAGTGGATATTTTAAAATATTTATATGAAATAGAGCAAAATAAACATGATTATGGAAAATTTCAGAAGTAATTGTTTTGGCATTTTAAAAACATTAAAACTGAGAGGGCTCAATAAAGCAGCTCCACAGGCTGTTAGCTGGGAATATGAAAAGCTCTGAGAAAAGAGCACTCAGTGAAAAATGATATATTATATTCTGGAATGTTCTGCTTTTTGAATGTTTCCCTGTACTCGGAAAGACCACTGTCATTGGCTGAGCCAATCTAGTAAGAGCCAGAATCTGTTGATTTATGTTGTTTTAGTACTGGTGATTAAAGCCTCAAACGATTAAGAATAATTGTGCACATTTTGTGCTTAATAAACAAAAACGTCAAAGTTCTGACATCCACCTTGTATGCTGTGCATGTCTTTAAAAATTATAAAGTAAAAAGAAATTTAACTTAGTGAAATCTAGCCATTGGAATCGAAATTACAAGATTTCGATTCTTGTAACAACTCTTTTATGATGCAGTAAATACAAATTTTAAAATTGTTTCTATACACAAATTAAATTATACTTTATTTTAGTAGCACTCACCTATCGCACTGTTATCCGGTGCTTTATTTGCAATCATAGACTTATTGGGTAACAGGTCTTCCAGATCTTTCATTACTGAATTTGTACTGTCTTTGTTGTTCCTTCTGTTCTTCTCTTCATCTCTTTGCTATTTAAGATACACAATAAATACCCAGAAGTTAAAAAATAAATATTTATTCCATAAAGTGGTAGGCTAATTTTCAGATTGACACACAACATTTTCAGCAACACAGGATACATACCATTTGCATCTTCTTTTTAAGCTCAATATTCGAATTCTGATATGCTTTTGAAACAGAATTCAAATAATAAATAGCCAGTCTGTGAATGAGAATACAGAGTTCAATTTATTAATGCCTACCAAGTGAAAAAACAGTTATTATGATTAGATTATTTCAAAGATTAAATCACATGGGATAACAAACATAGGGCTTTTTATGTGGGGCTGAGTAAGTATCAAGACAGATGCAGAGTTTCTCTTTTTTGTTTAAGGAATGATGACAAATTCACTCTCATCATGAGCAATGGATAGTTATTAGTTACATGTTGTATTTATTTTTTGTTGCTTTCTTTTCCGTCTGGGATTGTTGTTGTTGTTTCTTAAAATAGGCTACAATTTATATTAAACACAGTAACTCTGATTCAACTTGCCAGTAAATTAACTTTGCAATTACTTGGTTATATAGGAAGAAAAACAAAGACAAGATGTGCAAGACTGATATTTTCTTCCTCATAGGTTTGAGGGAACAACACTGGGAAACAGGACTCAACAATAAAGTGTCTATGCACTTCAAATAGATAAACACACTTTTTTATTATTAATGATATTCAATATCTTTTTAGAACATTTTGTAATAATGTTACTCTTCTACAATACTTTCAAGAGACCTCACAATAAACAGTAAATAAGCTAAAGCAACCCTCCATATCCAATAACGTCTTTATGTTGCTCGGATTATTTTGCTGTTGAAGAAGGTAGAATGAATCTCCTGTACTTACACCATGAGCAAAACAGCAGGGATTATCAGTCCTGGGTTGGCTGCATAGCTGAAGAGCTTACCCATGAAAGCAGGGAAGTCTAATTCAATAGTATCCGTAATCACATCAAACATTTTTTTCTTCCCACTGTTTGTGAATAAAGAAGTGAATAGTTTATTGTACAAAGTATCCCCCCGGTAGCACATACTAATGAAGGCAGCATTGCGAATTAACTCAGGCTTCCTTTCAGAGAACTATAAATTAGCATCCGTAAAATTGTGAAAATTGGGACGGGACAATACACTCTTCAGAAAAGTGATAACTTTTGAATAACTGTAGAGTTGTAAGAAGTGATATTGCAGTTCAGTAAAGGTTTCAAGTTTTAATTTGTTAAAAAAATACATTTCCTGAGAACAGGAACATACAAAAGTGCATTTTCCTCTAATACTCCCTACCCAATCTCTCTCTAATGCTAGACCACCTCTCTCAGTTACCATAAATGTAGTATAGAGGAGAGAGGCTCTTGCATATGTGTTAGAATATATATAAAGATGTCCATACATGTCCAATACATTGAGTTAGTTTAAAGTCGCACAATATGAAAAGAGTTGGAGCCTTGGAAAATTAGTGTTTACTTTTTGACAGACAGCATTTGATGCATTGTATTTTTAGTTTTCATTCCGCATAAGACATTGAGGATTTAATTGAACCAATTAAATGGATAAGAAAAAAAAACAGCCATATTTTCCAGGTCTTATTTACATGCTAAGTGGAAAATATCTTAAAACCTGCAGAAACCTGTAACTGGAGAACTAGTGTTGCCTACACCTGCTTCCAAATGAGCTTGAATATCATGCAAGATTCTTTTTATTATATTGTTTGGGGATAAATTTCACAAACAAATGTCATATTTTTTAAAGCAAAAAGTCCTGTTTAATATAAGTAATACAGAGCCCTGGTATGATAAGGACACCCAAGTATTCAACTGCTAACATGGGGTCTTTCTGCATACTGTAGATAGAGTACTGTTTGCATCTCTTACCTGAAAGGTCCACAGTCAAATGACGGTGGCAAGGTCATTATCGTGTAAACCACTGGTAGCAAACTTAGGAATAAAATTAGCAACAATAGTCCCATGTAAAAATTATTAGACTTCGATGCCTTAAAGACCCGTTCATGAGGAACATTACAGCTCATAACAGCCCAGCATTGGTAGTACATGGAAGTTAACAGTCGGAGCACATTGATTCCAACAAGCCCTGGGGCATAGAAGGCTCCCATCCTGAAAAACATAAATAAAAACAGAATGAAAGCAGAAATCAACTGTTTCTGATTCCATAAGAGGATGCAAATGATTTATCTGGATCAGCTAATTCCTTGAGGGACTTTTTCAAAATGTGCAAGGAAGTTCACACATGATTGTTAACCGATTTGTACTCTTTTGTGTATTCAAAAGGAAGTTTGTTTTTGCAGCACTTCTGTTTAGCATATCACAATTCTGGAACCACAAACAACTTAATTTCCTTTATTGTTTTTCCTGAAGAAGCATGTTTTTCATTGCATTCACAAACCAAGATATAAAAGTTGTCTGTCAGTATTTCATATTGACATGTATATTTTAATTAGTTTTTCTTAATTTCTTACATGGAATTTTATAGAAAACACCATCTTAGATATAAAGCTGATATAACAAAAAAAGACTGGTGATAGTACATATAGAGTGGTTCAATAAAACATTTTATCAGCTTGTTTAGCACCCTTAATGAATCACTAACTTAACTATTAAACTATTAACTATTATTTTTACTTTTAAACAAGTCAAACCTTGTTTGCAAGTTTTTTACTTTATCAGTTTAATTGTGTGTTGATATTTACATATGTCTACAAAACAAGAAAGCATCTAGTTTCAAGACACTTTGTAATGCAAGAAAATGTTTTCAAACCTGTCACAGACAGAAACTACAAATATAGTTTTCAAAATAACTTGAGAAAGAGTTTATTTAGAATATAGCAAGAGGCATTTTATTTTGTCAACTGATGATCAATCATCCTGTCAAAACTCATGTGCTGGCAGAGGTCATTAAATCGATATGATACTTTAAGATTGACTCCACAGAATAACTGTTTTGCAGTTGCACAATCATATAACCAAAGCATGACAAGAAGACTGTTATTTGTTCAATGCAGTGTGTGAAGTCACAGAGCCACAGAGTTCATAAGAGAGGTAAATATCTCCAAGTCTGTTCTTACCAGATCATTCCTTGGTTGAAGACGAGCCCCAACACATTCCCACTTATATCAAACTCTCCATAAGATGGCTGAGGAAGATAAGCAATTTACAAAGTAATCACAGCAGAAATATATATATATTTTATTTTAAACAAGAAAGAACAAGTGAAAATAAAGTGAACAATTTGACCAATTATTTGATTATGTGTAATAAAATGTTTTTTTAGACTTTAAATATTTTAAAATATCTGAAAAAACTTATAGTATATAATGTAATGTTATTTATTTAAAACAGTGTTGGCTGAACTTTGGTTTGATAAAAATGAGTGATACATTAGCCTCATCTTAGTCTTCATGTCACGATCGTTACTCCTCCTCTTAAGGGCGCTCCAGCCCTTCCTCGTTCTGTCCCATTCCCCACACCTGTTCCTTATTCCAGCCCCTCTTTAGTTCCACCTTTAAAGCCAGACGCAGGCGATTGCTCGGGGCTTCTCATTGATTTCAGTGTCGTGAGAGCCCGGGGTCTTGCTGCGTCTGGCTCCGTTATGGTTTTAGTTTCCTGTTCCTGATTCCCTGCCCCGCCGGTCCCGACCCGGTTCTGGTTTTAACTACGGATGGATCCCCTGGTCTTGGACTAAACCTCCCGTCTTGGATTCCCCCTCTGGGTTTACCCTTGGATTGTTCGCTCTGGATTCACTCCCCCCGGACACCAGCACTGCATGGACACGCCCCCCTGTCTCCTGACCGACTCCTGCATGATATTTTTCCCTATTGTTTCTTCACCTTTTGGATCGTGTCGCCCGCATAGGGCCCGGAAAGAACTGTTCCTGACACTTCAGACTAGGTAACTGTAACTGATCTGGGTCATGCGTTGGCATGTTATCGTGGCAACATAATCTCACCTTGCTGATGTCATTGACAGTACAGAATGACAGGAAGCTAACAAATACTTACAAAGCCAGCTTCCAGGTCCCAGCACCAGCAGTAATTCAGGAATCTCACAATCACAGCCCTTAGGAAATCTCCAACCAAGATCGTTATATACGTCACTTGTATGTCAGAAACAGTGAGCTTGACAAACTCCTGTCGGAAATAAGGAGAAATGGATTTGTGAATCATTCATTTTTACATTTACAGTCTTCCAAAAACAATTTTCTCCACAGAATTAGTGTTTTCTGTTAGAATCATAAACAGGCGTTGGTTTGGAAATTTTAATCCAGAGGGAAGAGTGTTGTCTGATCCATCAACACCACTTACAGCAACATCCTGGAATCTCTGAAACACTGCATCCCAGTATGGTAACTGGTGCCAGTGTGTGCAGTAGGAGACGTCTTACCAATAAGACATCAAACCAAGATCCTGACTACTTGGTCACTAAACATACAGTACCATGCTATTTTTCACAAGAGCAGAGTTTAGTTTACACTAAAGACCCCACTTAATTGGTGATTCTTATTTGTCCACCTGCCCCTCTGAGTAATGTGGCTGCTGCCACCTAATGACTGCTGTGTGTGGGTCCTCTATTCCTGTGGTAGATGAGCTGAATACCCCTTTATACTGTATGTGAACTGCTTTTCATCCTTTGATGTCTTGTTGTTGTTGTATTACTTTCCAACCAATATTAATAGCTTCAAAAATGGTCCTTCCACTAAACTTTGACATACATTTACCAATCTTAAATAAGAGTAAACTTATTTAAATGAACTATTTCCATATCCATAGGCACTGAGTTATGGGAGGATAAACAACATTGCAAATGACAGAGTATGCTGAAACACTCAGTGTCAGCTTTGCCTCCCAGTTATTTTCCATCCCGTGCAAATAACCCTTTAAAAATATTTAACTTTAAATTTCCCATCTTTAGTACACCAATAAAGCACCGTGTGTCACGGGTGGATTGGGGGATGCATTTTAGTCTCAATTTATAGGTATTTGGGAAACTGCAGGTACGATTTCCAGTGAGAAAAGGGCAAAAGCATTACTGCCCTTATATTTAAAACTCTTTGGCATGTACATCCACAAAGGAAGCAAAGGATATTTAAGAGCAAAATGGTCTTATATAAGAGAATTGTTTCTTAAAGCTTTTGTCTAGGTGCTGTATATTATAATATCTTATCATTATAATTCCTTACACTTATATATAAAAACATACAATCTAAAGGAAGAGAAAACACTGGAAAAAAAGGAGTTACAATTCCAACAGTGGTCTCCCAACATGGTCCTCTGATGACATCTGCAGGGTTAATGGGCGGGGGAGTCACTGCAGTTGAGTTTCCAGTGTAATTGCTGTAATACATGTTTGTCGCCCAGATAGTGGCATTCTTTATGGACTCCTCCTCGTCTAGCTGAAATACAAAAGAACAAACCATCACTTGTCATTTCAAACTACCAGTTTCTTAGTCCTGCACTCTGAACCTCAGTTGCTCAGTCCAGTAGTATGAACTTCAGTTTCTTCGTTTTTTAGATAGATAGATACTTTATTGATCCCGTGAGGGAAATTGCAGTGCAACAGCAGCTTAACACACACAACACAGCCACAGTGTAATGAATTATATAATAATAGTACAATACATACAATACAATACAAGAGTTACTCACAGTCCGGACACACAAGAACAAACTAGAACAGAACAGTACACAGAAAATCGTATCACACGTATGAATATAAATATAGATGTAACCATAGATATAAATATAAATATAAATGTATTGCACAGGTCCCTGGCATATATTGCACAAAAGTGGTTGTAAACGGGAAAAAGAAAAAGAAAAAGAAAGAGAACAGATGTAGCAGTAGATGTGTATATGCGTTTAGTCCAGAAACAGGTCACTGTCGCTGTTGCCTCTGCCAAGACGCAAGGTGGATGCGTTGTACAGTCTTATGGCAGACGGCAAGAATGACCTCCTGTAGCGCTCCCTGTCGCACCGTGGATGAATCAGTCTATTGCTGAACGTGCTCTTCAATAGTTAGTCAGAAACTATTAATAAACAGAGCTCCAAATGTAGGCCTCTCCTGTCAAAACCGCAGTAAAAAGAATCGGTTCCAACAATAAAGATACCCTAATCAAATTTAATTGTTCTGTGAAAAACAACAAGGCTGCATATTTGTCTAAACACGCGTTCTTTCTAACTCAGAGCTAAAGATTTAATACTGTATTGTATACAAATGTTTGTGTGTAAAACAGAAAAGATTCAAAACAAAAATCAAAATGTGATTAACAAATAGGAACATTATGATGTTGTTATATTATTATTTAACATGACAGTTCATAGAACATATTGTATTGTCCTTCGGTAGCATATTAATCTGGATATTTATTATTTCTCTATTAGTTAAGCATTACCTTTTGATTCACCTCATCGAACAATGCAAAAAGAAAGGTATACAAATTTCCAAGGAAAAGGGCAAATATTCGGCCTAGTTGCCACTTCAGTGCAATGCGTGGGTGGTAGTCTTCTAGCTCAGCAATGCTTTCGAAGAGTGGAGGACAGACCAATCCTAGTAGTGACATCACAATTTCAACCTGGTGATTAAAATGAAAAACCGGTTAGCTGTCTCCAGCCCAGTTTTACTGTTTTACAATCTCATCTGTTCGTCAAAGTAACCTCTACTATACTGTATATTGTATAGATAGCAAATAAAAGAAGACACCACTTGATAATGTCCTCCCAGAATATCCTAGACTTAGAACATTTTGAAATTTCATTCACCAAGAGCAAACTCTGGCTTGTAATTCCCTGTTTCTGAGTAAATATATCTATCTTGTGTTACACTATATTTCATTTCTTGCTGCGGTTAAGAGCTCTCCATGTTTGTCTGTCTCTGGTTTTACTTTATTGCACATTCTCTTAAACTTGCTGATTTCACTTGCTGCCAGGATCTCAAATACTGTATCTTTTTTTTCTGTTTGTGCATCCTGGGAAACTCTAACCAAAACAAAACATGAGCTTTTGCATATCAAAGAGACAACATTTGTATTTAATCTTATGCTTATATTTCCTAAAACATCATTCTCCATAGTCTCAGAATATAAGACGCAGATTTGCTAGCTTTAATGAAGTACAAACACAGGAGATTTTTTAAAAGTGAAAATAAAATTCAATTGATCCAGTGTGTCCAACTGTGGTGATTATATTGATATAATATAAAAGCATTAAAAATATCCACAGACGTACAGGGATGAAATAGCTAGTTTCAAATGGTGCTAAACACAGTGGAGGAATGTTACTTTTAAAAGGTATGCCATTTCAGCTACACATATCTTAAAAACTAGCTGGGAAAGAAAGTAATTGTTTATAGTGATCTATGTCATGTGTAATTACAGTACTATGTAATGTAATATTTTACCTCTTAAAACTCATTCAACTACCACCCCCTCCACCCCCCATTTATATACATATAAATGTATATTTATATAATATACATTATATACATGTATATAATATATACATTTTGTGGTTTAATGTATATATTATATTGCTGTTTATATGAAATATATTAATTTTCCTAAACCTAAACACATTTTTGGGGAACAAAAGTTGTCATCACCTCATTTTTTTCATACCACCCTACGTTGTCCATTTTAGCAAACTCCTGTGAGCGCTTGACAACAAAATAAATCAGATAACCACTTCCTCCTAGACTACATAAGATAAGGACATTTGCTAAAACACGAAGGAATCTTCTCAAATGGATGTTTTCATCTTTCTGATTCTCCTCTTCATCCACAATAGATTCCTAAAAGTATGCAAAATTAAGTGGTTAATTCAACAGGAAACGTTTCATTTCTCGTTTTTATTTCAGGGCTCAGGCGTAATTCAGTTAAAGGCATCAAATAAACAGTAATTACCAAGTTAAATTAGGCATTATCCAAATTCAAGAAAAATAAAAGCAAAAGATCATTTTAAGCCTTTTAAAAATGTGCATATTTCTTATTCTCACCTTAAAGCTGGTAGTGATGGATGCAAACTTGTTGTCAGCTGTTTCTGAGTTGCCAATCAGGTAATCCCAACTGGTGAACATCTTCCAGGAGAAATTGAATTCTCCCTCTTCACCATCCCCTCCACTTTCATTGGCATTCTTGGCCATCCTGTAGAATTAAGCTGTGTAAACAGGGGTAGGCATAAAGTGTAGCAAGTCCAGATTGAAAACAGGTCTTCTGTTTTATTAATAAAGTGATTAAAATTCACTAAGGTTTTTACAACAGAATTTGAATGAGCATGTTCTACAGTAATGTGGGCAAAATACATTAATAAGGTTACCATTCATATTTTTCTTGTTTTCACATTATAAGATCAAGAAAATGCACTGCATTCTTTGTAGGTCATCGTTATTAGCATCTTTAAATGATTGTAACTCGAATACAGTTCTTTTTTAAAAAATCAAGACAATGGCAAGATGTAGCTCTCTTTTGTTAGAGAGCTCTTATTTGATCTGTTCTTGTTGAAATACTGTAATTAGCTTAACTTGAAACATGCTGCCTAAAACTAGAACTTATTACCAAATGTTAAAAATATGTGAACCAACTAATAAATACATTGGACAGAAATTTCACGTGGCAGAAAATACCCTTTTAGTCAGATAAAACATGATCTTGAGTTTATTTGGGCCTGGACCTGAAAGTCTATCAAACCATGATCCTACAATGTAAGTGTAAATGGCAACAGTGTCACAGAGAATTTGAACTTACGTTCGTATCACAACCATAAGACTGTACCCAAAAGTACCAACCCCGACCATCAGATATGACAAAGGCAGTCTGAATTTCAGGAATCCAATTGTCCGCTGATTGTTGTAATAACCGTAGAAAAGAACAGAGTACTTAGCATAGCCCTGTAGAAAAAAAAAAATCTCAATGGAGCAAAAAACAAATTAAAAAAATATTATAATTAAATAATAGAACTAAACACATTATTTTAGAAAGAAGGAGAATGTACAGTCAGATTGTATAAAACTAAGTGAATACATTACGTTAACTACCATTCGTGTTTTTACCCTGAGTATTTCTGGTATCTGATATCCTAGATATCCTAGATTTCTGCCACCTGCAAGTCAAACGATTACCATACACTAATTCAAAACCATTTAAAAAAAAAGAAAGTCAGAGTTACAAAACTGTATTCATCTGTATTCATTCCTCGACTTACATTGAAATCCCAAAGGACAGAAAAGTCCATAGCAGTAGGTTGTTCAGCTCTTGGCACAGTTTTTCGGGGAATACTTCCATAAGGCAGTCCCATCAAGACCTGTTTCGGCAAAAGTTAACAATATTGTATCATTTCTCAACATATTCCTTATTACTACTGAACGAATATTAATCCATAGAAGAAAAGTCATATTTTTAAAACAGTTAGGCACATAAAGGTCCCCTGCTTTCTGAAAGGATTTAATTGCCAAAGCACATACTGTAGGATGTTTTATCGATTGACTGCTTTCAGAGCTGTCAGTTTTACAATGATGTCTGCACTGCATATGGTGAGGTCTGTTTGTAAGTAGCGAACAGTGCCCACTTTAAAAGAATTTCGATGAGTCATCTAAATGTTATCTGTAGTAACATTTTGCAAGTCTCAAATGTGGTATATTTGGAGCCCTCTACATGTCCATCCTTGAAATGGGCATATCACAGGACTGATTTAAATTGTTATGCCACAGAGCTGGAACTACCAGGTTGAGTCAGCAGGAAGAAATCAAATCTCCAGCACACTTATAACAAGTACTTCCCCTACTTTCGAGAACAACAGAATGATTCAGATTTTTCCTTCCTACATGAATCATGCATTTATTTAAACAAGCCCTAGTCTCAACTTAAAAAACTGAAAATAATCTGATACGTACTCATACAGAGCTGTCAGTTCATAAAATGGAAAACAAAATAGTATACGAATCCTTCTTACCTCAGGAATTACCACCAGTCCAAATGTAAATCCAAAGAGGACTAAATTCATCCCATACATCCACCTCAGAAATATGAAGTACGAGGCTACGGAGGACCCAAAGTGACCTGTACAAAATATTAAAAGAAGAGAACTCCTAAAGCACTAATACAGAAATCATCCTTCAATTAAACAAAGATAGAAACAAACATTTAAAGGACTGCTGGAGTGAGATCAGTGTTCCAGTTTTTTATAGGTGAGACTGAAAAAAGGCTTTTTCTTGATAATAAATTTCACATCTAAATATACGCATTAATGCTTTTATAAATACATTTAAATCTAAAAAAGATAATAACTGGTGGCATAGGTTTTGACCTCTTCCCCCTCCCCGGGGGCCAATATAATGTAGAGGAACCTTTGGCAGAAATTACAAACTTCTTTGATATTTAATTTATGCCATTTAAATACATTATGATTCCCTACTGTTACTCAATAAAATGTGAAAAATTGCAAAGGGAGTGAATATTTCTGACTGAAGCCACTGTTAACATACAGTATCAGTTTATTTATATATGTATGGCTATTAGAAAAATAAAGAATACTTTGATTAATTGATCATTCATGATTGACTTGTGATACATCCAAGTGACTTTTGAATGTTGCATAAGCACTAAATCACCCCATTTCTGAGAGCCTTGAGTACACATGATTTAACGTTGAATCACGAGCTTGGTGAGAATCACACAAAGAAACCAATGTGCGCCATTTAACAAGAGCACCTTGCCTTTGTGCTCTTAGTATGCTTGAGGCTGGACTAAGTCAGAAATCTGTGTCAAGAATAAGAAGGCTTATTTAGTATTATGTGATATTAACTATTAAAATCCACTTAATTTTTAAATGCATATAAGTGCAATAAGAGCTGATAGAGGCTGCTACTTACTTTCAACTTCTTTAATCTTCCTTTCCCAAGGTATGCACGCAGTCTTAAAATTATCAAAATCTCTTTTAAACTTGATCCATTTCTGGGGAAAGAAGTTATTACAGTCATTTGTAATGTTCGGAATTCCAGTATCAAAGAGATACAAAACAGCCATATGCATTGACTGATATCACTTGCCTTGGTCATCATCACTTTATAAGCATACAATTTTCTTCCTTTGCCCTTTCCCAGAGCTCCTTCAAATTTTTCCACAAATTGCTGGGCTTCTCTAAAAGGAAAAATTAAGGCAGAGACTTTTTTAAGCAGGAAAATAAGGAAGTGGTGAATGCAGTTGGGATCCTTTTATTCTTCATCAGCTACCAATTTGGGGAAGGGAAACACATTCTATTTACCTCAAAATAATTACCATATAAGCAATATTTTCTAAAGGCCATCACAGTATAACTCTTATTTTATCTGACACAAAATCTTTTTGTTGTGGTGAACTGACCAGTTTAAATTGCAGTACCCACCACCATGTCTCGAACCACAATCTGCTTAAAAGGACTAAAAAAATGCCCTCATCAACAAAAGTGGTAAAACTTAAAACCTAAAATAAGTGTAAGATTTCATAGCAGGAAACGATCTTTAAAACATCAGAGGTGGAAAATCCAAGACAGACAGCGCGCTAATAGAGACACCACCAGCAAGACTAGAATGCTGACAAAAAAATAGGAATCAAAATGGCACTTCAGGCAAAATGTAGGATGTGAGTGTTATTCCATAAAGAATTCTTCCAACATTAAAGTAATAAAATAAGTCCCATTTGCAAGCATAATATAACCAACATGATACAGATAAGACCTTAATAACCTTTAGGGTTATATTTGAACATTGGAACCGGGGTAAAAGTGATCCCACCAATGGAAACCAATAAATGTCATTTGATGAATCCTGGTTTATAGTGGGAAGTGAGAAAAGTGTGTGGCCTTATCTTGCTTGGTTGATGGAATGCAGTATGGCCAAGGAATTGGAACCCAGAAATCCAGGGATTCATATGCATAATATTCTAAAGATGAGTTTAGTGTGTTTGTTTAACACTGTTCAGATCTGTTTAGATATGCAGTTTGTACATTCCTTAAGTCAAGCAGCAAAACCTTTTGATAACCTCATCAGGGTTTTCTCTTGGAGTTTTTGTACATTTGAATGAGTGGCCTAAGAAATGAGCTGCAACACTCACTTTTTTCTAAACTCCATGGCGGTCATGGAGAAGCCAGTGATGTGTAACTACTGTTGAATTCTTGTTGATGAATAAAGGATTGCTTAGAGTGAAACCTCTAGCTAGACAACACTGGTAGAATGGATGTGTGGGCTCATAAGGGCAGATTATTAAGATTAAAAAAGTAAATGAAAAGGCAGAAAGACTGTGATGTTCGATAATCTGGATTAAAGAAAGAACTAATTGGGTTGAAAATTTAAACACTCCTGAAATTGATTTTTGAAACCCTTTAAGCAGCATGCTTAGCTGAGAATAAGAGTAGGGAAAGGTACTGTATGTAACTGTTTATGAAATAAAAAATGCCACGTAAATTATATGATCAGATCTAATATAATCAGAACTGAAGACTCTGATTGGGTTAGGAGATAAATAATGCAAAACATTATTTTATGGCAAATTACACTTTTTTTCACAGTAGTATGCAATTCTGTACAGAATGGATTTCTGAACTTGAATAAGGAGGGGGTGCAGTTTATTATTCATATGAATTTCCTGTCTGAATAAGGAGACGATAGAGAAGGCGCTGAAGCTCCTTCCTATCTGAAAATGGAAGCAAAAGAGAGTTGGCTATTGAATTTATGTACTGTGTAATGCATGAGGATTGGATTATGAACTGGCTGCATTAGGAAAGCCTCATGAGATGTGGAACAACTGGGAGAGGCCTTTTCTAGTCTTTTCTCTTGATGAATTGACCCTGCACAATCCATATATGATCAAATGGGCATGATTAGAATGAAAATAGATAATTGTATAGTTGGAGCATAAAAGCAGCATTACTATCTTCTAACCTGATGTCAGAAGCTAAGCAAAACTGGTCCCGACACGCACTGCAATGGGAGACCTAAGGGAAACCAAGTGTTAGCTGGAAGTGGCGTTGATGAGTAAGTAGGTGGCTTGCACTGTTCCCCTTAGAGCAGAATGTCCACACCATCATCCTAGTAGTGCCCTAGAACACTGTCTATGTTGTAAGAGGTGTCATCCTTCGGATTCCTTTAGCTGTCTTTAAACCAAAGTTCTGGTTTAAAGATCCTGTGGTAATGTATGTAAGAACAAGGGTGTTAACCCTGCTGTCCTAGTTAAATTCTACTCCATGCTGATCTTCCTACTGTTCACCCTTAATTATAGTGGTGAAGTAATTTCTGACTTCTGTAACTGTGTAGTGTGCTGTTGGTGCATAGTGTTTGGCACACATCTCTCAGGTAGGTGCTATACTTCAGTGGTGGATGAAGTGAGAGAAATTAGTCCCCTTTTATATTTAAAGTTTTGGGGGATTCTTTTGGGTATAAAATACTGTACAAACATAAGCAATTAATTATGAAGCTTAAAAAGAGTTGGATTAGCAGTTTGGAGTGTTGCTTTGAGCAGAGAGAAGCTAGAAGAAGAGTATCCAATAGCAGTCCATAGACAGAGAGTCAAACATATTAGGACTACTTTGGCAGCCAAAAGTTAATGTGACAGCAAATCTGTAGCAGCCACGCCAGTGAAATCCAACAATATTTCAGAGGTGCGGATTGAAGGGCAAATACTGAATTACATTGGAAGTATCATCTTCAGCAAGCCATTAATTTTGAACATCTAGTTTGATGTAGGAAATTCCATAATTAATTGTAGAGTACTGGAAAAACAGATTTTAAATGGGGATTAGGTTATTAATGTTAGCAGTAGATACATCATGAGTTTCAAGGATTTGGACCAGAAACATAATTTAGAAGACATTTCTTTGCCTGTAAATATGTATGTGACTACAGTTAGATGACTGATCTTATAATAAGGAAAAGAGGATGCAGTGAAATATCCAATCATTGAGCCTCAGTGGATGTTTTTTAACAATAATGAGTCAACCTGTTTTCAGAGTTGACTGCAGATTATTCAACACTGTGAAGGATAAGACTTGGAAGTTCAGCACACGCTGCCAGAACACCACCATCACAGGCACTGAAATCCAGATACAAGCTGTAGCAACTTCAGTCAGTGCCAGCGTCAACAAAATGGTGTTGTGTTACCACCAACCTTGTAGGTTAAGTAACAAGTTATTTTGGATTAAACATCCAGCATGCTGATCATTCACTTCAAAATACACAGCGAAAGTCCTGTGCTTTTAAAGCCAATTGTCAGAGAGAACCAAGAGGTGGCTTATTAAAAACATACAGTGAGAAACACAGCAAAGACATGGGCTTTCACCAGTGTGAATCAAAAGCTTTCTGACATGTTCTTATACCGTACAAAATAATAATATCACCACCAATGTGCAGCACACACCTGAATGATGCGATGGCAGCTATAGTGCGCCAGTTTGCTCACCACACATCAGCTATAAAGCCAATTCATAGATGGGGATTATTAAGATGCCATGAATGGTAAAGGCCAGGATGCCTGGGTAACAACCCTAAACTCTCTGCAATTTTTAATGACCGCAGAGAGTCAGGACCCCGGTTTTACGTCTCATCCAAAGGCTGGTACAGTACCTTTTTATATAGTGTCACTACTGAAGCTCAGCAGGTGTGACCCTGTCACTATACTGGGGCATTAGCACCCACACAGACTGCAGGGTGAGTGCCCCCTGCTGGCCCCACTAACACCAGCAGTGACCTTAGTTTTTCCCAGGAGGCCTCCCATCCAGGTACTGACCAGGCTCAGACCTGCTGAGCTTCAGTAGGCTGTAGTTGTGAGTTGCAGGGTGATGTGGCTACTGGCTATACATCTGCTAGCCATTGGCTTTTTACAATTTGTGGTTGCCGCATGATATTCAAGATATCATCTTTTTTTACGCTTGTTAAAAATCATACTGTAATATGAACGTAACTCGCACTTACATGTCTGGTTTAAACAAATGTAAACTGCTATGTGTGGTAAATTCTGCAATTTAATTTCAGACATAAAATGTTGCTCATATACAGTAATACGTTAAGTGGAAGCTTATCTCATTTTAACTAAATTTTTTAACTTGCAAGGTCTAAGGAAAAAATTCGTTGTTAAAAAACACACAAAAACCTTAGCACCCCTTTTCCTTTAATTCACAGACATGAGTACACTGAACATGAGTAGTTGCCATTAAAAACTTGATGCTTTTACTTTAATGCCGCCAGTCGTCTCTTCATTCTCCAGGGTTTGTTCCTCATGTTGGAGATGAGTTTCTTCTTCTCTTCCACCTCCTCCATGAGCCTGGCCATTTCCCCCTCAGACATAGACTCTTCTTCAGATGAGTCAGATGAGGAAGAGGAGGAGCTGGAAGACATCAGAGAAAACTGAGTCACACAGTTCTAACATTGGCAGAGATTTCCAATAGTATCCAAATCTGCCATTATCTGTACGCCTGATAAATGGCTCTTGAGGTCAGTTTGGTATTGCTCACTTCCTTTTTCCTTTATTAACCTAAGGGTCCTAACCCTAATCCTTCTTCCTATAAAAATACATTTGTAGTTTAATTTTACTTCAAATACATTTCTGGTCTGGTCTGAGCAACAATGTACATATAATATATAACAATATATCTACAAAATATATTTAAAAGGCAAACTTTATCCATTAATGAAAGAAGGCACTGAAGTACATACCTACTGTTGTTCTTTTTCTTTTTCTTGTTCTTTTCATTGTCTTTGTTCTTGTCTTTTCCCTTTGCATCTGCTTTCTTCTCTTTTTTGTTCAACTCTTCCTTCTGTTTCTTGTTTCCAGCCTTTCTGTTGTTCCTCTTGCTCGTCTGCTCCTCTTCGCTGTCCTCATCGCTGTCCTCTACCTTCGCTGGCTTCTTCCTGTTCACTCTCCTCTTTCTAGGAGTTTCCTCCTCCTCCTCTTCCTCCTCGCTTTCATCATCGCTGGCCGCTCTCCTGGCTCGGCCATTGTTTCTGTTGTTGTTAGGCCTCTGCTGCCGCCTGTTGCCCCGTCGCCCAGGCCTCCCTGTGTCTTCTGTGAAGGAAAACAGAGAAACCAAACACCCTGACATTGACACAAGGATATGGGAAAGGAAATAAAAACAGTACAGCTCCAACCCACAAATTACAGATATTGCTGAATAAAAAACAACATGTTTAATGTCTTCCTCTTTCTGTTTTCACTGAAATTTATTGCAATTATAATGAAATAATTCCTGATACTTATACAGTATAGCGCTTTTCTGGACGCTCCACTCAAAGCGCTTTACAGGTAATGGGGACTCCCCTCCACCATCACCCGTGTGCAGCATCCACCTGGATAATGCGACGGCAGCCATAGTGCGCCAGAACGCTCACCACACACCAGCTATCAGTGGGGAGGAGAGCAGAGTAATGAAGCCAATTCATTGATGGGGATTATTAGGAAGCCATGATTGGTAAAGGGGAAATTGCGGTTAATTGCAGGTTAAGACTGCGGTTAAGAAAGCAAAGGTTGCCGCCGGAAGTGGTGTTAGAGCGGTACAGTACGAGGTGCTCTTCCTGTGGTCTGTGTGGGTCCTAATACCCAAGTATAGTGACGGGGACCTGTAAAAAGGTGCCTCCTCTGGATGAGATGTAAAACCGAGATCCTGACTCTCTGTGGTCCTTAAAAATCCCAGGGCATTCTCGAAAAGAGCAGGGGTGTTACCCCGGCATCCTGGCCAAATCGTCCATTGACCTTTACCAATCATGGCCTCCTTATAATCCCCATCTTTGAATTGGCTTCATTACTCTGTTCTCCTCCCCACTGATAGCTGATGTGTGGTGAGCGCTCTGGCGCACTATGGCTGCCGTCACATCATCCAGGTGGGGTTGCACATTGGTGGTGCCGGAGGGGAGTCCCCATTACCTGTAAAGCACTTTGAGTGGAGTATCCAGAAAAGCACTAAATAAGTGTAAGTGTATTATTATTATTATTAT